AATTCTGTTTAAATACCTCGCTGAACCATAGCCACGCATGCGCACTCTGTTTGCTACTCCAAACAATCTAAACAAGGAAAAACTTCCCGTACTCACACTTTTTCATGATCCGAATGAAACAAGTCTCACAAATATGGTCGCTCTGTAAACAAATACTGGTTTATTGTCAACTAGTTAAGAAAAAAATGAAGGCGCTATCCTCGCGTTCACGCAGCTAAAAAAAGCGCTAATCGCAACCACATGAGAGTGGTTACTATTTCACTTCGAGTGCTCCACGATAGAAATCTGTAGGTCCCGACGACAGTATGGTGCATGTTCGCAATAAGCAGCACCGGTAGAACACACAGGACGAGCACATAGCGCAGGCACATTTCAAACAACAAGACACTGACCAATAAGCTCGATCGATCGAGAAGCCACGCGCACAGCAGGCATAGGAACGGTAGGGTGTTTCACGTATTTCGCCAGCGCACGCAGACATGTAACATGAAGCCGCTCTCTCTCCCGCACTCTGCGTCCACTGCGCATGCGTGACTAATCGGGCAGCGGAGATGGCCTTGGCGACGAGACCTGGTGGCGCCTCCACACCGCCTAGATTCGGTTCAATGCTAGCTCCAGCCCATGACAGCTCGCACGGGCACAGCATTTTTTTTGCGACAGTGAACAGTTGCATTACTCTCTTTCTTCGCCAGAGTATTGAAATCGAGTGAGCATTGTGATGATGCATAGCTATCAGCACGAGCTGCTAGTCACAGCGCGCATTTGTAATATTCAAAAGCAAAATTTTGCACACGTTCACTGACGTAAGTTTGTGCAGACTGGTCGAAATGTGAAGCTGATGGCTTTTGCTTAGCTTTATGGGTTTTAGGGACTAAGTGTTCATGGGTACGCAGGCGATATAAGCGATGTTTTATCAGCCCTTTTGTTTCGGGAAAGACATTGTTCCACACAACATTTTATGCATCAGACGTCACACTATTCAATGAGAACATATATTTGTACTTAGCTTGCTGTCCTTGGCCTGAAACCACGGCTCAAAATATTTCAGCAATAGTGATTTCTCGTTGTCCACGAAATGGAGGCTTTGACCAAAGCTCGTCTGCTAGGGAAGTAACATAAAATTAAAAGAACGGAGAATCGCAAGACGCACGTTTCAAGAGACACTAATAGGAATATTCGCAACAGTAATTACCTATAGGGGGCCTGCTCTCAAAGTACATCACGTGATTGCCCCATTTTGAAGGGGACCTGATGGCCTGTTGAGGTGATAATTATGGCACATAAACTGAGCGGAAAAAGATTTGATCTTATGTGGGTGGGGCTCCTTGGTTAGCCATTGCGTGTAACATTACCTTGATTCAGGCAAGTCAGTGAACTTTGTGAGTGTTCAATAATCCCGCAAACGACAGATGAGAGGAACAGATCCAAGAGGTTTGGCCCGTATACTCTATTGGAGAAGCGGTGCTCTTGTTGGGTCTTTCGTCTTTGTAGTTTGCGCACTTTATCAATGAACACTGTGTTTCGGTTGCATTATTTTACTTCCTGCTTCGATTCATTAATAGGCCCGCAAACAGTTAGTAGTAGGAGCGTTGCTGAAATAAGGTTGGTTAATGTATACTTATAAAATAAGCAAAAGTGTCAAAAAATGCTGCGCATTTGTAATGTTGTTCGTAACGCCCCTAAGCTAGAGGGGGTAAATGGGGTATTTCAATGGTGTTTATATACAAACACTCTACATTTTATTGTGAGACTGTAAAAAGGGAGTTTTAAAGGGTGGTTTTTACGCGTACACGCATTTTACAACCTTTTGGGTGTAAAAACTCTTGCAGTGTGATGTCTTGGCTCAAACTCTCTCATAGACGTCTGCAGACCTACACCAGTGCTGATCACCAAGATTGAGCCGGACGAGCTATTCTGGCTCACGTCCGGTTGCCAAACAAAACTGTGACAATGTAGGTCGAAAGCATGACGTGCCTCTTCCAATAAGCTGACCCTGAAATAGCAGAGGACAGGAAGTTGCGTGACCTTATGCAGGGCATCAAGGGGCAGCTTTTCGCCAGCCTCGTCTGGAGCCCTCTGAAGACGGTCGCGGAGTTCACGTTCAAGGCCGTGACATTAGAAAAAATGCTACAGCAGCCGTACAACCAATACGACAAGCAAGTCAACGTCATGTCGACTGCTGACAGTTTCATCACCACTGGAAAGCAGCATTGACTGCCCTCCTGATACAGCTGCTTAAGCTCTTGCTGAATACCGCTACGAGACAACCTGCGCGGAAGCCTTGAAGCACTCTGCTGCCTCCCCGCCACTGTTCGTTCGTCCTGCTCCTACCGTTTCACTCCAGTCTGCGCAGCGCATACCTTACTATGAAAGCACTCCTGTACTATGGACTTCAAGGAAGACATAGGCTTATACTATATGAAATTGCCGTTTCAAGTGAAAATAACTTATCAAGATAACTATTGACGAGTTCTCTACTAAAATGTGCCTAGATTCGAGGCTTTTGAAAGTAGGCTCTAACATAAAGGCTCACGTAGAGTACTGCATTTCTAAACTATTTACACACTTTAAATTGTTACCTTAACATGGGTAAGGTGGCGGGCTTTTCAAGGCTTACGCTTCTGTGCATTGGCATTTCTGTATACACTTTATGTCACTTAGTGGGGGAATGCTCGGGTAACCCACGGTTTCTCATCTACCAGGGCCTCGTGAATTCATCACAATTCACATCGTAGAGATGCGTAGACTTTTAAAAGAAAAGTGTTTTAAAACGGCATTCAACATGGCTCCACTGACATATCATCGTCACGGATATGACGTTGTAAAATGAATATCTGAAGATTGCAAAGAAGAACAGCGAGACCAAGAAGTACTTTAGTGAGGCGTCGTACCAGCGATCTTTTGCTCCACAGCACGCGAAAATAACCAGGAACAAACCACACACTCTTCGTTGCTGGGCTTGTTAACGGCGAGACATTTCAACTGACAATGTACCACTGGCCGTTTTCAAAGATCCTTCATTTCAGCGCGTTTTCGTCATCAGTAGCAAGATGGCGTAAAAATCACGCTTTGGGCAAGTGTGCTGCAAAGGTCGTCGCCCCACGCCTTGCCATGCGTTGCTTAGTGCATGCGCCTCTTCATGAAGTGGTCAAAGTGCGTACAAATGTTTCTTGGCGTGATCACTTACTCGCGTGTGCGCCTATATCGAAACTCGACCATTTTGAAACTCTTGTAATTCTACCACAAGTTTGTTTTGAAGACACAGTGGTTAACGAGACTTCGCTTCCTTTAAAGTTAAAACGATTAATACGACTACCGTAACTGCCGCGGGTGCATTTACGAAACGAGCGCGCTGCTACACACGAAGTAAGAATTGTGGCAATTGCTCACGCTCGTCCTTTGTTTACTTGTGCATACACTTCGTACATCTAGCTCTATTTAGGCAGCGTGCTTCAAGTTTGGAGCTGTGATGTTTGCATGTCTGCGCTTGTTCTGTGTGTCCTAATTTCGGTGGGCTTTTTTTCTTGAGGCGTGCAATAAAAGTTTCGAGACTTTTATCGTTCTTCGCATCACAACTTGTTGCTGTACCATTCATTGCTTTAAACTCTATACTACCCTTGTGAAGGGAAGTTTTGTTTTCGGGTTATACCGATTCCTAAAGAGAGTATTCAGCCAAGTTTTTAATGAACACCCACCGCTTCAACCACGAATAAAGTAGTGTATAAGTAGTGTAATAAAGTGTATCTTAAAACCAGTCCATCACACGTGACGCGGACTGTGTCGTCATGCTCGCCCTAGAGCACTTTCAGTACCTAAACGGCTTTTCCTAAATACAGCATGCTTTTGAACTATCCATCCAATATCTTTTCAAGTATATAGTATCTTATGAATCCAGCTTGTCGTACACCCATAGATTCTTACTGAAGTAATCCGACTCAGTATCAAATAATCAAGAAGGCCTAAAACAAAGCCATCAACTCTCGAAACTGGGTGAAAACAAACCAACGATAATTGAAGCAACATCGCATCAATAATCTAGATGGCATCACAACCTTTACCTTAAAATTGCAAGAACGATTCGCTAGAAACGCGCTTTATTCCTGCCCCAGCAAGAGATGGCGCCGCGGCCACCGCAAACGCAAGATTGCTTCTCTCACTTCCTTTCTCTGGCCCATTCATCGCCGCTACCTTATAGTTGAAAGAACCTGACAGAACTCGCTGTACACGACACATATAAAAACTGCGGTAGCAGTCAGCTTAGGTTGTCGATAAAGTGCCGAAAAATGTAGCGCGCATGCTGCATACGCGTCTGTGAATACACCATGCTTTTACTCATCCCGGAATAACCATACTTGCTTACTTGAAACAGTGTTGAAATCAAAGGCCTCGTAAACAGAACATTAGTTACTCTTCAATAAGGAACCGCACGGCTCTCCGGCTGCGCACCTCTCCAGGTTTCATAGTGGCAGGCCTCAATTTAAAGAAACATATTGAAATACCCCAATCGTGAAACGAAACCCACACTTTTTTATTTTTAGCGAACCATAAGTATACTCTGCTGGGTAAGTATTGTTGAAAGTGTACTTTCTCCACTATTTGCAATTTCACAATGAAGTCTGGTGTGATGCGCTGGAAATCACATCATTTGGCAGCTATAAATACTGTACGGATTAATTAATCGCATTAAAGGCAACACATCACAAAAAGGTTATGTGAAAATGATCGGTGCATTTAATGCCAGTTTCAGTCTTTTAGGTGCTGTCGTAGTGCGTGTGTAGGTAATACTGGGGAGCTTGAGTGGCTTGGTACATCGGTGTAGGAAAATCGGTGAATGCCCACGAATGCTTGGACTATAACACAAAGGTTTTCATGAGGCATCGTTTGCCTTTGGACACAGTATCATGTGACTTGTACGGGCAAAAACATTATGCCAGCGTAACGTGGCTCAAAGTTAGACTAGATAATAGTATATACTTGAAAATGAGTTCTTGATATTTCAGTTCGTCAACCAGTTTGAACTACTATGGACGTACAAAACAACTAACAGAGCACCAATCATGTGCGAGGTAGACCACCTTCTATCTATCAGACCTATGTCAATTACATTCAAGAGGTCTATGCTCATTAAAGGAAGTAGGTAAGTTTTCTGTTCCTACTACCCACCTTTATATTACACTCGTATTTTTCCTCTTGGCAGATGCGACTTTCGAATACTTGGAGTATTTGATAAAGAACACAAGGATCGGATGAGTCTCATTTACAAAGGTAAGGAGAAATTACGTGTACGTACAAAGTAACCAGGGTCTAAATTGTGCCTGCTTTAAATTACTGTCAATTTATTCTTATTCATTAGAGATCGTGACTGCGTCCAACAATTTTTATTGAAGCTTTTATGAATCATAACTTTATGTCCTGAGTATGCATTTCTGCATAGGCTTCAGCAACATGTTATGCGCAATAGCTGCCCCATTGCCACAGTTTTGAAGGTTATACATCATGCAAAATGTTTTATTTTTGCATCATCGCATTCAAAAAGCCGTTTGCCTATACTCTTAATAGTTGGATTTTTTACTAATTTAAGAAAAATCACGAGGCTCGCAACCATCCCTACAAATGATAATTATATGCATCTGCCAGTCCAAAACTCAATCGAAACGCTTATATTTTCATTACGCACGAAGTTCTGTTTTGACAACTGGCTTATCTCATGCGTTTTCATAAAATATTGACATCACGAACATACTTTCGAAGAACCAAGTTAAGAGATCTTTCCGAAACGCCAATTAATTATTGCACTAGCTAGCGTATTTCATTAATTTTAATTGTGCTTAGTTCTAATGGTCCTAATCTAAGAATTATTCTACGAGGCTGATTACTACTTCGAGTGTCCCTCATTCCGCGCCTTTATGCTGACTAGTAGTTGTCCATCACACCATTTTCTGCTTTGCACGCAGACTGAACCTATGTATGCCTCATACTAAAGCGCAAGAGTTATTCAGAGGTGCTTACGAAAAAAAAAACAAGCTTGTGAAACAAGCTGTGAAATAGAAAATCAGTAAGAAAAGTACAGCGCTTGTAAGCGTGAGCATGTTACTCATACACGTCTTTGAACGTGCTTGATGAGCCTTGACTACAAGCTGCGAATTCCACAAAGTTGCGTGTAGTTAGTTGATAAGTGTTATAAACGAATTACTAAAAATAATCCACAATTGTTCACACACTGTGGGAGCCCATGCTTTGCGTGATATTGTCGTAGTCAAGCTGCATATGCCGCAATGCTCGCTTCAGAGATAAGCTTGATAAAGCCGATACCCATGTTCACGTATGCTGCGTACAGGGTTCTTAGTGGGTAATTACGAGACATGTCCACAGGGCTGCTATGTTTAAGGACTCTTCTCCGACGCAACGTTGAGACTCAGGTTGAAACGCTGATTTTTTGTATTCTTGGATAGAGTGCGTTTGGTTGCGTAGTAATGAATAACATTAGCTGTGCCACACTGAAAACTCTGGCGAAGTCGACCACAGTCAGAATTTAGAAGTCACAGTGTCATTGAATACATATGCGATATGATCTACGACATTTCACGAGGTGCGGCAAGGTCTTCATAATTATGCCTTGTGTTACGCGACAGTAATAGCCATTCTAATACATTGGGCAAGCACTAGGCAACACTAACACGTAACTCTTGCTTACACTCACCAAACACGTACAAGTGCTAACCTACACGGATTAATAGCCACCAATTGCTGAAATATCAAGCACTAGTCGAGAATTAGGCCGCGATAGGTAATACCCTGCCACTAGAAGCCAACTGTTGGTTGAGCAACAGCCTTAATTATGCAACACTAGAGGCAACCAACTAAGATGGCTATATGTGTATTACATCCCCATTTTGTAGAAACGTTAATGAAGCAACCGCGATGATTAGACGTGGTATGCATCTTACACACCTTTTGTTTTATTCATGCGGTTCTTGTGCAAGACGTGAGCACGGCTGGAAATACACACAGAGAAGCGAACAGTGCATCCCCGAAGGTCAAAACAACTAACCGCACAGGTCAAAACAACTAACCACAGCTTGGTCCCGACTGAAGCCATTCAATCTTCAGGAGAAGATGAGTAGGGAAGCGAGAGTAAAAAGGAAGTGTTTATGTACAGTATTTACGTGTTTAGAGTAACGTGATCAACTTGAAATAGATGAAGCACCCCCTAGCGTCTCTGCGCTGACGTTTCATACCCTCCGTCTTCTCAAGATTCGCTGCGAGGAAAGAAAATTGAGGCCAGGTACCTCCAGTAGGATCGCGCTTATTAAAGTTTGCCCCGGAAGGGGCAGCGAAAACCCATCCCAGGAAAGAACGAAATGCATACACCGATATTCGTACAAGAAGGAGGCAGTAAACACCGTACGCGAGGTGATAGCATGGCACCACAGGCAGAACTCACGCGCATATCCGACCCAAGCGGTTGACCAGGTTCCAAGCTGCCGCATTCGGTGGTGCTAGCTTCTCGCAGGCCGCCAAAACAAGAATGCACTAAGGCACGACCGCTGACCTAGGATTGCGGAAAAAATTTCTCTCTGATCAAGCCGAGAAGCCGGCACATTGTCCCGTGTGAGTTGACGATCCTAGCAACACAGAGGAGGTGACAGCTCAGGCTGTTCTCGTCCCTTCGGGCATTCCATCGGCCAGGCGTGTCTTAACAATTTTTGTCCGTGAGCCGATGACCTAATAGAGCTCATCGCATCTTTACTGTAGTTGAAGATGCTTCGAAATGTCACTTTACACAAGATGATGATTGCTGGTAGCGACCGAAAGGGCCATGGCACAACACCGACTTTTACCTCTCCCGGCCGTTTAGATAATGGTATATCAATTGCGAAATTGATATGGCATACCATGACTTGATGACGAGCGATAAGGAGTAGTTATAACATGAAAATCATGAAGTGTGTTTCATGAATGTCATGAATTCGGTTTCATGGGCTTGCTGCTCTTGCGGTCGTTTCGTTCACATGCGATAATGCGAAACTGGTATGGTATTGACTGTAAACATTCGACAAAAGTTTGTCTGGTTGGGTATGATACTTGGAGATGATTTAGACTCTAACCAAAAATTTTGAAGAAACCCGACGTTTCGGAACCAACTTCGTTCCTTCCTCAGGGGTGACTGTGGATGCTACGTAGCAGCGGCGTCTTCAAAGCACTCGCGGGATGGATAATGACCTCTCTCTCTCTCTCTCTCTCTCTCTCTCTCTCTCTCGTTTTTACTGTGGAGCACAGTTAGTGTGTATACACTGGGGGAAGGGTTCCGAGAGAGCGCTTGATATGGGCTGTCCTCTGTATGTGCCACGACTCAAGTAACAACCTTCTCCTCCAGTTCGGCTCACTTTCAAGTATGGCCGTCGCTTCGAAATTGACCTGGTGATGCAATGTCTCAGCTTGTTCGGCGACTGCGCCACGCTCTTTGTAGAAATTCCGCACATCGTAGAACTTCCGCACATAACGATGTGTGGATCTTCTACAAAGAGCGCAGACAGGGCGTCGGGAATGATGTTCTCGCTTCTTTTGACGTGGCGGATGTCTGTCATAAAATATCAGATGTATGTCAGCTGGCAAAGCTCTCGGCCCATGTGTGTGCCACCGTCCGAACGCATTGAGCGAAGAGCATAGGTAAAAGGCTTATGATCGGTTAAAATGAAGAACTCGAAGCCTTTAAATAAATGCCGGAAGTTGCGTTTACTTGACTAGATGGTTAGTAGTTCGCGGTTGAAGGAGATGTAGTGGCGATCAGTAGGTGCTAATTTTCACGAAAAGAGTGCAGTAGGTTTCCAAGTGCCATTACTCAGCTGTTGAAACAAGGAACCAATCGGCATATTCGATGTATCCACCATGGAACACTGGTGAATTTTTGGCTGTGGGTATGCCAGGACAGTGGCATTTCGCAAGGCCTGGTTTCTTTGGTTGAAAGCCTTGCTGACGTCTTCGAGCCAAGGCAGTTTTTTTGAAGATCATTGCGTTGACTTCATCAGTCCATGAAGCGATTGTATGATATGAGCACATTTATGCACAAACCAGCTGTAGAAGTTGAGCAATCCGAAAATTGTATGCAGTTGACGCGGTGTGGTTGGTAATGAAAAGTGTAGCCTGCACCTTATATGAGTGTGGCCGTACTCCCGAGTTCAAAATAGGTGACCGGTACTATGGGAAATCGCAGGGCATTGTGGGAAACGACGGCTTCCGGCTCGACGCACCACGCGGGTTAGCAACAGCACGCGCACATTTTTGTACAGCTTCATTGAAAAAAAAACACCTCTCCGTGCAATGTCAGTGACTTAGAAGTTGTTTTTTTGTTTTTGCTAACCGGGAATGCGACGATGACAAGCTACGAAAGCCATGAACGGCAAGGACACTTTTTTATTCAACTAAAATGATCTGCAATGCTTTTATGCTGCTCGGGGGCACCGTCAGTTCGGCTAGCAGATCAGTCAATGCAGAAAAAAGTTTTCACTGTATGATACATTACTAATGATTAAAAATCACCATTTTGAAGATCTCATGGGATTGGAATGACTGTAGCAGAATGCTCAGAGTTCATTTCAGGATCGCTGCTTCGGCCGACATCGTCAGTCGGTCGGCATGAAGCGCAGCACATATTGAGTGCGTTGAAATATCTTTTTTTCTAGCCTTCAGCACGCCAAAAAATATATTTCTTAGTCCAAGTTAGATGCTTATTTAAATGGTAACCTTAATCCAGCTGCGCGGCACGGCGGAACATAAACAATACAGTCAGACGTAGACGGTGCCGAATAATCCAAACACTGTCCTTTTTCAACGCACTGGTTCTTTTGGGTGCCGTCCTGGCACACAGTTTGACCAATATATCGTAAATAAACTCATCCAGTGCTTCGTGTAAACTTACTCTTGAGTGAATATTTTTTGTTTTTGGTCATGTATACGAGTGCAATGGCCGGCGCTCATCTCGTATGAGAAGTCGATTTCACCCACGCGTTCCCATTATATACTTGCTAGGTAGTTGCCCTTCAATTCATTTCTCAGTATAATATTCGCCGCAAACTCATGCGTAAGCCTGTTTTAGTGTGGAGTACCCACATATCTTGAATAAAGTTGTTTTCGAACACTGTGGCTTCAACGTTCCGTATTCAAAGGCTACCTGTCACTGTGGTTCTCTTCACAGCCGCGGTCTATTTCATTTTGCTTTCTTCGTTCCATGGGAATCTATAGACGCCGTTTGCCTTTAACGCTCGAGTTGGTGCAGCCAACGGCTAAACAACCGCCCATGGTTTATCGGGACGAAGTTAAGAGGGCAACCACGCGCGCGTATCCCGAATAATCTTAGGCTTGCGGTGAACCGGTTCGCCATCGCCTACTCTTCTCAAACCGGAAGCCTGTAGCAGACGGCGTATCCCACAATCTCTCGCTTTTTTATTGGTCACCTAATGTGTGGATCAGAAATATGTAACTCAGGCACAGCATGTTCACATTTTCCGCAAGGGCAATAATGCCGGGGTCAGATATGCTCCAAACGACAATCCACAGGTGCTCTTCATGTTGCTGGTGCTCGTGATAAACAAGTCGTGCGGGTAGCGTGGCGAAAATAGAGGCCCCGTACAACACTGTCAATAAACCATCGGAATGTTTGGCCTGCCTTGCGAAGGCTGAATGGCATGCGCAGAAATTCGAATAAGCCAAAAGGTATGTTAATGGCAGCCTTCCGAATGTTTTCCGGCGACGCAAGTATGTCCGCACGAAATCGATTAAAAAAAACTGTGGGCACATGCAAGCCTGCCAGTATATCATAGATGAGTGGCACGGGGTATCTGTCGGTTGTTGTGACAATGTTAAGAGCTCGATAGTCCCCGTAAGGCGGCAGTCACCCGATGACCACTTAAGAACCATGTGAAGGGGAGATGCAAAAGGACCGGCAGAAGGCTTAATAATCGCCTGCTACAACATGTGGTCAAGTCCTTGCCGTGCCACTGCTAGTTCTCTAGGGGGCAGTCAACGTGGTCGAGCGCAAACTGTTGGTCCAGTAGTAGTGATGTTGTGAAATACGTTGTGCTTTACTGGTGATCCCATTTGACTCTGGTGTGTCAGCCCATAAAATTCACTCAGCATGGAGGTAAAACAAAGAGGGCCCGCTGGCTTGATAAACGTAGGACTGAGTGGTGTATATCTTGAAAGTACATCACATTGTGACACTGGTTATTGAAGCCTCCGGTTACGCATGTCGACTAAGAGTCCCGATTAGGGCAGAAAACCAGCCCTAAGAGGGAGAAGTCTCGCGTCGGGTACTATGAAGATCCATCAAAGCAGGCCCAAAATGACGGTTGGAGAGTGGTTTTCTTACGTGGCAATGATCGTGTTTTTGACTGCTTGTAGAGGCGATGTGTTCGGGTGCTTGCGGTCCGCAAGCGATGCTGGGAGTACACTCACTTCGGTGCCTGTGTCAACGAGTAAGCGGAAGCTGCTGCTTAGGTCAGTTGGGAAAAACACTGATGAGCAACATTATTGCATGAAAAAAACGCTGGTGGCCCTCAGCACCGGCCCATGGTGTTTTCCGAGAGTCCGCAGGAGGTACGCATTTGCACGCAAAGTTGCCAAACTTGGGGTAATACCAACATAGCTTATAACGTTTCATGGCCGACTTCGACGATTATAGACTGGTATGCCATGACGCTGTGTGGAAGGCTGCCACAAAGTCTTCGAGAAGCAAGATTTCTGTATCTCGTGAAGCTGCCAAAGTAGAGACGGTTCACTCGTGACGCCCACAAAAACTGTGGGAGCTACCGCCATGAGCTTGTCGGTTAACTCAGCCACTTTGCGTCGATCTTTCTCGTTTGAGGCACTACAGGCCACTCTGACGTTCGAAGCAATTTTTTGTAGAAATATTTCTCGGAGCAGCAGGCTGTCAAGACCATACGCTTTCTTGCCCACTTATTGCTGCATATGACGCAGCAGCTACACTTCGAGTTTTGTCACCAAGGTGTTCTTCACGAAGAAGCTGGTGCAGCCGTTGGATTTTGGCGGGCGTGACCCTGCAAATGAATGTTCCCTTCAACATCTCGTAGACCTTGTCTGCAGGTGGGAAAAGCAACAGGTCTCAATTTTGGTAGCAGTTGATGATGGCAGACTACTCACCACGGAATGGTACTTCGTGAAATCTGTCATGATGTGAGGTGCAGCAAATAGTGACTACCTGAACCACAGTGCAGGATCTGCAGTTTCCCACAGTGCAGGATCTGCAGTTTCCGACAGTGCAGGATCTGCAGGATCTGCAGAAAAAAAGGCAATTTTCCGTCGACACTCGAGAGTGTGGTTGAGTCGGTGCCTTGAAGGGTGTTCATTGCTTTTTCTGCTTGTCTGGGTCACCAATATTGTGCGCAAGTGAACGCAGCCTGAAATTAGCACAGAGAAAAAAGTAGTGCGCTCCAGAAGATCAAACAACAACTAAGTTAATTTTACCAAGTGATCGGCCTCTACGGCTCGGTCGCTGAACCTCGTACCACTTCCCTTTCCCGCACGAAACGTGATAACATTTCACCAAAAAGATATGAAATGGTGTCTGGTTGCTGCTGTGTGACCATGACCATTGTGAAATAGGTGAGATTTGTCCGCTCGACACACATGCTGTCTGCGGTTTCGTATGCTTGGCCTATACGCAAGTCCTTTGGCTCACTTTTAGATCCACGCTTAAATCACAACTCTACTAGCCCTCTTTTAGTTTTTTTTTAATATAAGGTGCCGAAAGTTATCCGCGCATACAACCCAAAATCTCTGATGATGCTGATATTCCTGTAGTAAATAAAATTACCCTTGATGGTAAAAAACTTGAGCTCTGAGTCTGCCAGCTGAAAAGTTTGGCTTTGCTCTGGAGCCTCGGAAATTATAAGAGCATACACAATTTGTAACGAAAAGTTAAATTTTCGAACCAGTCTATTTATCTTTTGCACTTAACGAAAAATTGCGTATGCCTGACTCCTTTGAGTAGTCCTCAGTTAACACGCATATATTTATTTTTTAACAGCCAGGGTACTTACCTTGCGGGTCACGTGACTTTCCGAAGAAAGTACAATGACCTCCAAAGAGTAAACAAGCCTCCATTTAGAAAGCTCAATTCCGCACAACATGAAAAAGTCACACATGCGTTTTTTTGTTTTCCCGGAATATGGAACGAAACGATCCATTCCCCGTTTCGGCTTTATGAACGATGAACTCATAAAATTATTTTAGAGAAACAGCCATTCTTATTTCATTCGTGCACTTCCTGGACTTGCAAGAAAACAAACATAACAGTGCCAATTTGTGGAGTTGTTTATTACAGCATCGAACAGCGCAAGAGAGGACGAAGACGCGTGAGATCACTAAGAAAGCAGAAATCGCGAGACTTGGCGAAAAATGTGTCAGTGTCCTGTCCATTATCCTAATGATAATAGAATATGCTGTATTTTTTATGCGGATGAAGGCCGAAAGGGATGTAGTCTGATGTTTCATATTATACATTTTTTTGCAAATAATGCTTTGCAATCCTTTTGGTTCACATGTGATTTTATGTGTTTTTTGTTCCTAAAAAAATTCTTCTAAGCCAGTGCTAGTTCTTGCCTATTGTCCTTTGCCTGTGTTGCCCTGTTGGGCACTATACTGCATGAGAATGCAGCAAATGTTTGTGATCTCGTCCGTTTCCTTTTTTTTTCAGACAAATTCCAAAGAGTTGAAAATGCCCTCTTTGTGGCAGTTGGTCATTCTTGCGCTGTTTTCAAGGTCGAGTCACTGAGAGACTGTACGTGCTCTAAATTCATTCTCACGATGAAAAAACCGATGTCATTATTCACTTTAATGGAGTGTAATTCAAGAACAAATACAAGTTCCACCTACAAAAATAACGGTCTCTGGCCGAGAAAATCAACGTAGGCATCAAATCTAACGACGTTGGTTGAATTTTGTAACTTCTATCCCATTTCGCGCGTTTCAGATAGCTCACGCCCTCATACAGACATCGCGTCGCTCCTTTCTGCCACTGGTTTTTGAACACTTCAATGTCTTAGGCAATGTCTTCATATTAACCTAGTAGCCGTATCTTAATGCTATTGTTATGTTCGGCTTTATCGTTCTTTCACACTGTATATGCTACTGTCATGAATTTTGTACTCCCACTATTTGTCTTAGGACATATTTTGTCTGCTAAGTAAAAGGCAGTAGCTGGTGCCAGGGGCGTAACCAGGGGGTGATAAACCGGGCTTATGCCCCCCTCCTCGACATTTCTTTTCGCCACGGCATACAGATAAAAATATTCATTTGAAGAAGGCGCCCTCATGGCAACAAAGAAGATGACGCCCTCCCCTTTTCAGAAAATATTACGCTGTCCCCAAAGAGGACCATGGGGTGATGCGGAGCATCGCTAGATGTTTTATTGATGTTCTTAACAGTGGTGTTTACCTGTTTGTGGCATCAACTTTGCGGTGAACTTCGCGTGTTACCAAGTTGCAAACCTGTTTCGTTACCACTCATCGCGTGAACGTTGTGTTAGAACCTTTCGTGATGCCCCGCATCACCACATGATGCTCTTTGGGAAGATGGTGTAATTTTAGATGCGAAGCAGCTGGTTGACTAGCCTGTGAAACTCTGTCAAGTGCATCCGCACAAAGTCCCTCGCCGCAGGTGTTGAAGCGGTACCAGAGAGGTCAAGTCACAGCTGTGCGTTCACGTCACTTTCGCCCTCTCTGCAGGAGCTTTTGGCTCCAGCACCTGCTCGGATTACACTCCTTTATCGCTTCACTCTCTCCAGCACCCACAACACACTACCACACGTCGAGTGGAAACACTAGACAGACTTATTTGCGCGTACGCAGGAGCCACACAGATGCGGCTTGCATTGCGAATAACTAGCAAGCTGCGTCCATACGGCTGCTGCAGGCGCGTGACGAAATCTGTCTAATCTTATGGCTCATTCATCTAAAGTGGAACTTACACAAAAGCCAACCCTCCTTCCATGTCATTGCGTTTTAAACAAACGTTTACTTGAGTAAATGCTACACCGAGTTTTGCTTCAAACCGTTCTATCAGCACCCACGTCGATGCCCGTTTCAACTAGTTCAACGCCATGCGAACCGCTGCTGCTTCGCTTCTAATCAGGGTTCTTTTTGGGCAGATGATGAATAATTTTTTATTTAACGCACCCGCTGCAACTTTTTACTGTTCAACAATGCATAGGAAAGGTCTCCCACCGACGGACAATAGCTTCAAGGTCAACATCTAGTGCCTATGGGCCTTTTCACTCAAGGCTTCCTGGGTGCCGCCATAGTCCTCTTTGGGCAGTTATGAGTGCGCGTGACCAGCACAAAAACGCACTGCCGAAACAGTGTCGTTTGCTTTTGTTCTCTCGTGCAACAGCCCAGAAAAAAAATATGAATTCATACTGATCGGCAAGTGAATGGTTCTGAAACGTGAGCAGTCAGTTTTTTTCCATCAAGAAACTCGCTCACAGACGCAGCCTTCATCGGCTTAGCAAGACACCGCCGGAAGAAATGCCTAGAGGAGAGGGGGGAGTGAGCGTGGTAGTGGTGGTGGTAGTGGTTGGAAGATGAGAAAAAGCACCTAATTTCAGCAGCCCTGTCGGGATAACGGCGCAGTGCTTAGAGAAGGAGACACCACCTGCGTCGGCGTTCGGAGGCAGGAGAGCGAGAGCCTAGGAGAAGAGACGAGAAGAGACTTTCATGCGCAACGAGGGGGAGAGCCCAAGCAGGTGGTAGGACGGACGCTTGCTCGTACGGACGTCCTTCTGACACTTGCTCATTTTCCCTTCTGAGAACCAAACCACGGACACACTATATGGAGAGCTAGTGAACCGAGCAGGTGCAGGAATGACACGAAGCCCACGTGGGAACAGAGAGCGCATGGTTGCATATAACAAAATCACCAAACGCTACAGATTAGGGAGGCAGCCTTATTTCCTTTCGCATTTCTCAATAAATAAACAGCATTCAACAACATTACATCTATTACAAACAAGCTCATTCGCAAACTCAAGTGCTTCCATTCACTGCTATCCAGATCTCTACTTCAACGTAAACTCTGCAATCAATGTGCGGACCTGAAACACATTATGTGGGATTGTCCTAACCTCTTAAAGGGGCCACAAACGAAGTGTTTAAACGCACAGCAGCGGGAGATCGCGCTGCTTAGATGAAACATTCAGGACCACCTACAGGTGATCAGGCAAGACAAAGATGCCGCTAGGGCCCAAGAGACTCTTAGCTGCCATCTAGGGGTGAGGATAAAATTGCTCTGAAGGTTGCCGTTTGAAATAAACCTGTTTCTTTCTCTCTATCTTGAGAGATTACGACATCACATTCAAGTCCAAAGTCAAGCTTTAGATTGGAAAGCCAAGTCTTCGATAGGCGTGGCTCTGATGTTGGCACATTCTTTATTGCAAGGTTTAAAAAAACATCGCAGCATATCCATGGAGTGCATGATGATGAGTGGGGCGATGCATTCGTCAGTCCATCCGCGCCTCCATATGTCCGTTCATTCTTGCTTCCGCCCGTGTGTGCGTATGTCTGTGTGACCGTCTGTGCGTTCACCCGTCCGTCCCTGCCTCCGTTCTTCAGTGCGTCTGTCCATTCATCCGTCTATCTAGTGAACACACCAAGTATCGTCATCTCACATATTTTCATGCATATATTCAACATATAGAAGTACGGCCATCCAGCGGACAATCTGGGGACTAAACGAAAGGTACCATGGCCAGACTAGAGGAGCGGCACGCGCGCGCTTTCTTACGGCTGGCGCTTCGTGTCTTGTTCCAGTGCTGCGAACTTATATGCAGCCACTTTTTGCCTCTCTGGAAAAAAAAACGTCCCTAACTTTTCCTAGACTTTCATGGGGAGCGGTTTTTGAAGACTAGTGTGTTTGTGCTGTGGAAATAAATTTGAAAGTTCACTTTTATGATGTAATGGTGCACTCGTTTTAAAATGGTCACTAGAATCAACATTACGAAGGGGAAAAAATGTCGCAGTACAAATAGAAAAGCTTTAAAGAACATTTTATTCCATGAAATCAAGAAAGTAAGCAGTCATCACCTTCAGGGAGAAGGGGGAATTGTATTACAGTACTTTATACAAATCAACAAGAAAGAAGCTATATATAGGGCAAAGAAGAAATAAAGTATCAAAGTCGTAATAAGGAACGCTGCTAGCTGTTCAATGCAAAACAGAGAAATCTCACACTATGACATAGTGCACTTGTACAGTGAAATCTCGTTATTTTGACCCTCGTTAATTCAAAATTTCGGATAATTGGGCCAATGCTGGTGGTCCCGTACAAATTGTACATTATTCTATGACTGAAACTCTCATTGCTTTGGACAAATTCGGCCGCGGTTTGGTTAACTCGAACGCCCAACCATGGTCCAGTCACAAAAGTGAAGCAACAGTGGATTCTACCGGCCAAATCAACGGCGTCCCTAAACAACTTTGGAATCTAATTACGGCTTCTGAGATTCAAAACTTCGTCCATGGGTAGTACATCTAAAAGACACCCTACCCCTCACCCCCACAAAAACACATGGGGGTTTAAACAACCAAAATAGAAAGCAGTGCATCGCTACTGTCATCAGCAACGGGTAACATACGGATTTGCCTTTCCTTTTAGGGGCGAAACTCCTTATGGCGTGGCTTGTGCATCCCTCGTAGTACGTAACCACCAATGGCACATACCCGAAATAGCGGTCCTTACGATTTTGACCTCCAAGGGGGTTCCGGTGAGAGATTTCTTCTGTGCGTTGTTCAACAATAAAAGATAGTGCTCAATGCACATGTTAATGGCTGCTTAGGGGGAATGAGAGACAGGAGCATTCGGCCTTTAGGTAACGCGCACGCTGCGATCCCCATTAGCAGCTATTGGCATGTACATTGCGCACGATCTGACAAGAAAAGGTTGCTACGTTATACTCGCTGGGTGTAACCTCCTTGGTTTTAGAAAGGTTTAGTGAGCTTTGGGCTGCATAGCCATGAATACAGTGAACTAGTATATACCATGATTTCGAGGTGGTAAAAGGTGGGAAGTAAACCCGAAGCGCAAGCCGTAAGAAAGTGTGCATGTGCCACTTCCCGTTTAGTCCTTGAAATGTCCCCTCGATGGCGGTGCTTCTATAAGGAGAATATATGATGAAAAGATGCGAGATGGTGGTACTTGCAGTGCTGAATAGATGGACGAACGGACACACAGACAGATGCATGGATGGACGGATGAACGGACGCAGGGGCGGCTGCGTGAATGAACGCAGGGACGGACGCACGAACAGACGCACGCACGGACGGGCTGATGGACACATGGACGGTCACACTGACGGACGCACGGACGGACGGAAGCAAGAACGAATGGACGGACAAATTCTTCGCCCCACTCTCCATCATTCTCTCCCTGGATATGCTGCCATTTTTTTCTTGCACGTCGAACACGTTTGCGTGACGGTTGAGTTGGATTGCTCACCTGTAGTGTGCTTTGAATTATTTATCTGTACGTGAATAATACCATCTGCAATCTTACTGTTTGCCGTTTCTTGAAAAATTCGCTGGTTTTTATGCCGTTTTATAACTGTGTGTGTGTGTGTGTGTGTGTGTGTGTGTGTGTGTGTGTGTGTGTGTGTGTGTGTGTGTGTGTGTGTGTGTGTCTACTTCGTGCGCGCACGAATTACCACCGCACGAGCGACGCCGGGATGGCTTCCCCTCTATCTCCTGCAGCCCCAACCGCCCCAACTCCCGCAGCAAAGAGGGCGAAGTACGATGCAATTGATTTGGCTGCGAAGATGAAAATATTGAAGGCGTTGCAAGCGGGAGCATCTTGATAAGAAGTGATGTAAAAGTTCAATGTGAAGAAAAGCACGCTGAGCCCTTACATGAAAAACGAAGAGCAGATTATGCAAGCGTTTGACGGGGACATGTTCGGCGACCAAAAGAAAAGGCTTTGAACGGCAGTGCATCCCAAGCTAGAAGAAGCGCTGTCGCGCTGGATTGCCGTTTCACGCGAAGCGCGTTTGCTCTTCAGGGGCCCCCTCATATGCGCACAAGCAGAGAAATTCGCGGGGACCACAAACATTAACTCTTTTAATGCGTCGGAAGGCTGGTTAGGCCGCTTCAAAAAGGGACACGGGCTGGTGTTCCACAACGTGTGTGGTGAAAGAGGTGTGGTGGACGAAAGTGTTGTGCAGGACATGTGGTTTCGACTATCCACGCACCTTCCTACGTACGGGCCGTGCAACATTTTCAATGCTGATGAGAAAGCGCTGTTCTATAAGGTTCTGCCTGACAAGACCATTGCGTTTAAGGGGAACCTGTGTGTCGGTGGAAAACGAATTAAAGAAAGCATGATAGTTCTTCTGGCTGCTAACATGACCGGCACAGAGCGGCTGCCGCTGCTGGTGATCGTGAAGGCTGCTAAGCCAAGATGTTTTAGGAATATTATGCAGCCGCCTGTCGACTACAGGTTCCGTAGAAAGGCTTGAATGACTTCCGAACTCTTTCAAGCCTTTTTGCGTCAGCTTGACCGCCACTTTGCGGCCAAGGCTCGGAAGGTGTTGTTCGTGCTAGACAACTGTAGTGCAGACACGAAGGTGTCCAGTCACTAAAACATTGAACTGCTATTTTTGCTTCCGAGCACAACGGCTTCTCTGCAGCCGATAGACAAGGAATTTATACAGTTCGTAAAAATCCGCTTTCAACGGCAGTTTTTCGAGCGGATGTTGCTCTGCATGGAGTAAGGCAAGTAGTGCGAAGTATAAGCCTGTTACATCCACATGCTGACATACGTGTGGTACAACTCACTGCCTGCTGTAGTCGCGAACTGCTTATGGCATAGCGGCTTCGTGCACGACTCTGCTGATCCGGGTATGGTAGTCAATGAAGAAAGCCGCGAAGAGCTAGACAGCCGCTATGTGAGCATCATGCCAGCTGATATGTTCTTGGGTGAGCACTTCACGATGAACAGCGATGTTGCCGTGGCCGGTACAGTGACCGGCAGCGATATCGTCACCGAAGTCTTGAAGGCTCAGGGTAATCGGCTGACGAGGACGTAAGTGATGCTGACGAGTGTTCACGCCACACTATGACGGAGGCTCCGCATGCGTGGGGCGTTTTGGAGGACATATGCTTTTCTCGTGCAGTGTGTGCGGACTAAGCCACCTGCGGGAACTTCGCAAATTTGTGACTTCGACGCACATTGCGTCCGTGAAGCAAACCGCGATGGCAGACTTTTTTAAGAAATAGCAGTCTGATCATGTAGGACACATTTCTTAATTGTTTTGTTTTTACTCTCAACAATTCGTCCCCTCAGGTACTTCGGGCATTTTCCCCAATCCCGTGAAGTCCAAATTACTGCGGTTTTACTGTAACAACATGCAAGTCACAAAATAATAATAATAATAATAATAATAATAATAATAATAATAATCAGAACGAGCATATAAAGCGCAGTGTGTTAAATAGCGAGCAACCTTAAGAATATTCAACAATTCTGTTATTGGGAACTCTCTTGCCAAAAATGCTTGGTGGCGTTCATATAAAACATGAAGTGATGCACGCTTACACAACTTATAAACAATGGCCTGAAAAACGTACTCTCAGGCTTTGTCATTATATGTGATACACAATATTGTGACGAAAAATATTTTAATCATAAAAGCGTATTACATGCCAGTTGGCAGTTCATTCCCCACAACCTGCTAAATGGTTACAAAAAGATGTTTAGTACTAATGTTGACAGCCATGAATTCGTTTAAAATGTGTTTTTGCCGTCTTCCAGCAGCCACTCTTTCTTTTCAACTTTTTTGAGCTGTACAAATAACCGCATATATATGCAGCTTACTGCTCTGGACACGCTTTTCACAGAAACCTTGGTGACCATGGCGGAGCCACATGGCTCCATGGGGCAGCCTCTTAGCAACGTGACAGCGTTCGCAAAGAAGAGAAATCAATAAAAAAACAGCAAACCAAAAAAGTAACGCCGCGGGTCAGAGGTGACAAATTGAGAGGTTAGTGAGAAGCAAGAGGTATACTGGGCGGGCTCAAGAGAGGGCACTTCATCTTTCAATCGACGTCGAACACAGACGGTAATCAACGTCGAACACAGATGGCACAGAATGAACAGCAATGAAATGGGGGAGAGGGAACTGCTTACACAGCGGGGGGGGCAGAAACCGGCACTGTCGCCTCTTCACCACACCTCGAAACCGCTACTAGTGGATATGGCAGAGTGTCCATAAGTGAGTGTGGAGGGGGTGTAAAAGACAAAAAGTGTAAGAATGAACAAAAACGTGGTTGTTGGCGGCAGGTCCCGCCATCGATCTGCTTGTTTCACTTGGAGGCGAGAAAATTTCCTAGATGTTGACAAGTTTCGCTTTTCCCCTAAGTGCAACAAAAATCCTCTAGATCATGGGAAATTTCTCTAGAGCTGTCTGCACTGCCTAGTTTCCACCTTTCACCACAGCTAGTTCATGGCACTGCGACCTAACCTGGCTAAACCTTGCCAAAATCAAAGAAGTTATGCCCAGCGAGTTTAACGTGGCAACCTTCTCGGTCAGGTATAGTGCTCAAAGTGCGTACTTCTGTTACAAGTTTTTTAATAAGCAACAAGTTCAAGTCAAAGTTTTTTGGAGATTTAGTCATTAATTCTGGTATCTTAAAGTTAGTTCATCAAGAACAAACTTTTTATATATAATAAACGTGCGTGGACTTCCTCCTCAATTCAAAAGAGTATGCGCGTATCGCTCTTCCTAGTCCGGCCGGGGAGGTAGCTACCTACTACTACAACGACTACTACTTCTACTACTACCAATACATGCATAGCGGACGCTCGACCCATGTCTTGAGGAGCTTCGCCCTAAAAATCCTATGCGCGCCCTATTACATATAGCAGGCAAACGTTGGTACGAGAGAAGCACGTGCGATTTGAAAGGAAACCATGGTTCTAGGACTCTCCTACATAAGCTATTACCAAGCGTCTCGCCAATTCACGGTCTGAGCTTTTATGTATTATAAGCTCGTCACGAAGCATATTAGCAGCTATGTAGCTTACAAACTGGACACAAACATAATGAGCGCATGGTAGCCATTGGTGCAAAAGAGGTGCCGAGTTGAATCACAGCAGAGGAGGTCAGTGCTTATAGCATAGCCCTGCTGAATTACAGCTTCAAATTTCTAGGAGGCACGACGCACCTCCAACTGAATCAAAGCAATATTATTCATTAGACAGTATCATCATAACAGCATCAAGTCTTATCATAAGAATTCCTGAAAAGTAGACCCTCTTTTCAAACAAGCCCCGCTACAAGGCGAGAACTCTGGAGTTTGTAATGCACCGACAACGAAGGAGGGCAAGGAATGGAATCCTGGAATGTCTGCCGCAGCAATAAGAAAGCCAAAAAACAAGGGTCAAGCTGAAGCTCAGGGTGAAGGAAAGGTCAAAGACGAAAGCGAAGCCCACGCAAAAGAAAGGCCAACGGTCTCCCAACATTGTGCTGTGAGTACAGACAGCGAGGTGAAGAGATTGAAGGTAAAAACGCCAATGGCAGAAGAAACTTCACGAAAATGCGGCGAAGCAGAAAAAATGACCGCTGTTTCCCGAGTGGGAACATTGGTTAACAGGCGGAGCATATACGGCGAACTGCAATAAATGTGGTTTGTAACTTGCGACATGCGTGTGTGTTATGAGTCAGCACGCACACACGTATGCTGCGAAAGACGATGTTTATTGATGAGACGCTTTGGGTATTTTGATCAAGATGGTTTTATGGTCCGCAAAGTGAAGGGTGAGTGGGTCTGGTTGCAGTGGTCGAAGGTCGAAATTTGAAAAGACGTGGTCGATGCACGTCCCGCGAACCACGGTCGGATGATGTTTGCCGTCGTGCGTTGCTCGTTTCCACGAGTGCCGCGACTCCATGTAGTCGACCACCCAATCGTCCTTGATAGGCTCGACGTTGAAGTCGCCAACTATCACGAAGGGTCGTCTTTGTGGTCGTTGTTTCAGTATTCTTCCATGGCTTCATCAACGCACTTCTCCATGGCGGCACGCGATAAGTTGCGCGCGAGGTACATCGTCATGACGTCGGCTCCGCAGACGCTAGCGACACAGTGCTCGCCAATGGCGCGTTGTTCAGCGCCGGGCCGCAGTTAGATGTCTTCAACGGAGTCGACGTCGTCACGCTTGACGTAAATTCCCACGCCACCCGCAGGTCCTTGGAACCCGTGCGCGCAAGCGGCTGGAGCGTATTCCGCAGCGTCGACGTCATTGGTGGGAGCGTATCCCGTAACGTCGACGTTCTCGAAGCTGGGGATGTTCCGCTCGACGCCAAAGTTTGCGTTCCGCATGGCCTTCTCAGCGTGGCCTTGTCCACGAACGAAGTGTCTTCGGAATTGCTTGCGGTTCCGCCAACACATTGGCGGACGCTATAAAAGGGATGTCAGTGAGTGTGTTTGCGGATTCGTTAGCATACATTTCACCAGCGACATCGGACGTGGAGCGACCGCACAAACCAACCGATGAAGGGTGGCGCGCCCCAAATTTCTGTTATTTGTAGCGAGCGCCGGCTCCGGCCTGCGCATGCGCGCGTTAGCATACAGCTGGCTCACGTAAAACTAAAGGTCGCGCTGCGCGTGGAGGGAAGAAGTGAGCGCAGCGCACGCTGTGTTGAAAGGAGGAAAGGATGCACAGATGGCTGGCGGAGGAGGAGGGGAGGCTGTGAACGGCGACAGCGCTTGGCTAGCCTCTAGTATAACGTACTCCACATGTAAAAAAAGAGAAAAAGTTACTAAAACAACGCAGGGACAAAAAGCGACTCATATTGAAACGCAGGAAGGTGAGGCTGCAGAAAATAAAAAGCTGAAAAGCCAGCTAAACCAAGACGACGTAAGAAAAGAAGAGCCACTGCAAGAATCGGGAAAAAGTGTCGAAGAGCAGACGCAAGGGAAAAAAGAACGCACAGGCTTTGATCAACCGCAACGAAGATAGTGAGCGGAAGCAGCCGAAGCCAGACGAACCAGACGACACCGAGAGAATTACGAAGCCGGAGCATATCCGAAGGAAGAATTTAGGCAGACGAGTCAACAAAATTAGAAGCCTGAGCCTGACAAAGCGTAGACGCCAAAGTTTAGGCAAGTGGACACTGACATCATGCGCGTTGTGGCTTTCCTTAAAGTCAAGCCAGTGAAGATGGCCGGACGCTACGACATTCGCTTGGAAGTTTCGAAGTGCGAACGAGCGAATTTCTGCGTGCCGCGAAGAACCTAACGCGTCAGTATATAGGCATAGCTCTTTTCTTGTGTTATTTATTCGTTTCTTGTTCACCTTGATCTTATTTTACATGTGTCATTTAATAATAAAATGTTGAATAGAATGGCCGAACACTTATGTAGGCACAGTCAAGAACTTTGCCAAGTGTGCCTTAACGACGGCGTTAGGTGTTTCAGCATAGCCGAGTGTTGGCATATTACTGGCGCATCTACGAGATGCACGTTCCCTGTTGTGAACACCAAATAAGATCACGACGTTGACGGAGAAACTCTCGTGGAGTGGCGTTTGTAGACTGTGCGGCGTTGCAGTGTAGCCTGTGTGGCACGTGATTTATTATGTATGAGCAAGTTATTATTTTAAATACAAGGTCGTACACGTCACAGTAGTGCTTCGGCAGGTTCAATACTACCCGCTAGATGGTGTGAAGGGTGCGCGTCAAAGCAACGTTCCTGGATGTTGTCTTAACTGCGCTTGATAAGCGCACTGAAGTAACCCATTTCTCGTATGGCACGCCAAGACAGTATTGCTTCTAACACCACACACCGCCGCAGTCACCAAAGGATCACTCCACGCACATGAGTGCTTGATTATGAGGCGATGGCACAGTCGACAATTCCAGCAAGCTTAACATAAACAAAGAAGTGATTAATCGGAGTTATTCATTCACATGAGTTGCGAAACTGTGCTCCGAAACCCGGACACGTCATTGGCCGACCTAGCGGGAGCATGAAGTTTTTTTCCTTTCTCCATGAGCGGGATTAAACTGATCGTCGTGCCATCTAGGAGCGA